ATAATAAAAAAATATAAAAATCAAAATTAATATATATGGAATATTATTCATGGCATGGATTATGGGGGCCCCTTCACCTTTGATTTTTCAAATTTTTCAAAAATGTTATTAATATTTGCATTAATTGCGAAATGCTTCAATCACAATTTTTATACCAATCATATTTTTAATTCATATTTTAGATATAAAATTTAATATTTGATCTCAACCCCTTTTATTTCTGGATTCGCAAACCCATATTTAAATCTAAAATATGGACCGCAGTAAACACTGTTATATTAATGTTATTTAAATTATTTAATTTTTGAATTTTGTTAAAGGATTTTATAGGTTAGAAATTAGGTTAACAAAAAAATTTTTGAATGTTACTTTGAATGTATTCATTCATTTTATGCATTTCATGGGGAAAATTTGAATACAAAATATTAAGTCTGGTTTCGCCGCGTAACGGCAAACAAAAAATAAAATATTGTAACATCATATTTATAAAAATATATATATGTAAGAATTTAGTATAATATGTAAGAACTAATGTGAAAATGCAAAGAAAACATTCTTCATAATAGAATATTATAATGTAGAATACTTATATCACAATTATATTACTAATCCAATACAATTTTTCAGCAAAACGTTTAAATGCGATTTCATAAAACAATTTTTCAATCGGAAAAAACCTCTCAAAACATCAACAATTAACGGTATCACAACCGTTCCGCCGAATAATTATTTTCAATGAATGCCGTTTTTATGAGGGCGCCTCGCTTCACCAATAATTATAATCGCTCGCGCATGCTTTCTTCCAGTCGTCGTTCCGTTAATTTTGACAGCGGCCAATTACGCGTAATGCACTCAGGTCACCTCGCGCAATGTTTGAAATACGCAAAACTATTGGCGCTTCACGCGAAGGTGAGCTCCACCCTAAACATTATAAAAGAGGAGCTCACACCCGGCTTGCCAGCCTTATCGCTTTTCCGCCGTGAACCGCATAACGCAAACCGCATACTTGTTAAACCGCTAAAAATTCGTTGACGACCACCGCTTATTCCGCACTTTGATTTTGATTACAATTTTCACTGTAAAATAATTAACAAAAAGAAGTTTTGTTAAAGTGTATTTGTCATTAAGTGTGTTAGAGAATTAAATTCTTTTGATACAAAAGTGACTTATCCTTTGTGCCGCGCGATCCTTTCTCACGCAGCGCGTTCGCGAACATATTTCTGGTCCTTCGAGCCGGATCTCGCACCGGCAATCGCAAGTTCGCGAGCGTGACTCTTCGTGTGAGTGGAGAATGTGAGCATCTGTGTGTGCAGCCATTATGGATGTACCCACGCTGGTCGACTGTCAGCGTGAGATTCAAATCCGCATCTCACGTTCCGTGGAGTATTTGAAGAAGCTGGGCAGCTCTAATATCACTACCAGTGCTATTGCCACACGCACCAGAATTTTGGATCAGCTGTGGACAAAGTTCGAAGCGCAGCACGATCTTATCCGAGCAGCCTTAAAAGAAAAGTTCAGCGAGAGCGATTATTTTAAGTCAGAATTGCACGCTGATACGGAGAATCTGTATGTCAATCAAAGAAGCATACTTGACGGCTACGCCGAACACTTTCGTGCAACGAACGTACCGCTTTCTGCCGACGCCACGCCAAGGTCGTCACTGCCGCGCATCAAAGTACCGTCATTCTCTGGTGCCTACGCAGATTGGCCGTCGTTTAGAGATCTCTTCCTCTCCGTCGTGAGTGGCAATGCGATCTCCAACATCGAGCGCTTTCATCACCTCCGCTCATGCTTGACAGGGCCGGCTGAAAAATTAATCAAGTCGTTACCTGTTACCAGTGACAATTATGATCGCGCTTGGGCGGTCCTGGACAAACATTATAACAATAAAAAAGAATTGATCCGCTCCAACTTTGCCACGTTCATCGCCGTGCCAAAGATGAAGGGAGATACCGCAGAGGAGTTGAGACGCATTCACAACACCGTTACTGCCGCCGTCAATGGTCAGGAGAACATTGGACGTTCAATTAACACTCACGGAATGGACCTCTTCAACTTCCTAGTTACCGAATTGTTTGACGCACGCACGCGTCTGGAGTGGGAGTCGTCCACGTCAGACTCATCAGAGCCGGCATAAAACGAGGCACTCGTTAACTTTATCAGCCGACGGATCCTGACGCTCAATGCCGCACGATCAAAGAGCGTCAGCAAACCGTCCGGAGAGGCTTCACGGATTGTCAAGGCTCACGTCACTAAGCAACAAGGAGCTGAGCCGCCGCACTGTACACTGTGTCGTGAAAGGCACATCTTGATGCCTTTTTTTTTTTTTTTTTGACGCAGTGGGAATCCTCATGGATACCACCGCTCTCCGGGAAGAGAGCGGATGGTTATGTGGGACTTCTTGTTCCCCTTGGCCGATCCACGAGTGGATCGGTCAGGGGGCCCAAGACATACCTCACTAAACCCACTGCGGATACCTTCCCCGGGGGACGGCCAGGATGCTGGTTTCCCATGCCGACTGGCCGCCCCCCCGCCTAATCCCTCCTTGGGAGAGTGCCGTTGAGGGCGACACTCTCCCCCCCCCGCGAATGTCATCGTGCGGGGGTCCTCGCGGTTGCGACGCAGGGCGGTATCGACCCTACGTCGCGCCCTCCCAAAGAGTTTGGGGGGCGGGGTCACGGCTCGAGTATCCCGCTCGAGCCGCCACCCCCCGCCTCCGAAACGGTGCTCCCTCTCCCTCCCGAAGGGAGTGGGGATTCGGCATTCGCCCCGGAGGCCCTCTCCAGAGGGTTTCTCTCGGAAGGAGAGGAGCCCCCTCCGTGGACGGTGTTGCCCTCCCACCGGTGCCTACGGCTCCCGGTGAGAGGGCCCCACACGTCACGTCTCCGTCCTCGAGAGGGACCCAGGCACCCCGGACGGGAGGGCAATGCCCGCCCGCCAGGGACACGTGGCCCCCCCTCCTGACCCCCCCCGGTTGCGACCTCCCTCCGCCCCTAAGGGTCAGAGTTCACCCGCAACCGGTGGGGCCCCTCCCTCCCGGAGGGTGTGGGGGGGGAGGGGAGCGCCTAAGCGCCCCCATGTCCCCCCGACACCCTCATTCGGTGTCAACTAATGACGCCGGTATCAGGCGGGGCCCCCGACCCCCGCCGCGGACAGCCGCACCGTGAGCACGACCGCCGACGACGGGGGACGGAGGGCCGCGCCCCCTCCTCTCGACTCTGCCAGGGGTGCTGTTAGGCATCCCGGGCCTCCGATTCGGTGCCTGGCCGGCCGTCGAAAGTCCACGCAAAGTGGACATCTAAGGCCGGACAGGCACCCAACCTCCTTGTGGCCAGGGGAGCCGCAGCGGTAGCAGCGGCTACCCCTGTCCACCGCCGAAGTGCACCGGCGCCACGTGTGCCCCACACATAGACACCGGTAACACCTCGGCGCTCCCATAATGTTGGCAACGGTTACCCCGCCGCCAACTCTCCTCTCCCGCCGACCGCCTCCACCAGCGGTCACCTTCTCCTTCTCCTTCCCCTTCATCTCCCTCTCTCTCTCCTCCCTGCTCTCCTCCCCACCACTCTCGCCCACACCCCTGTGGCCTCCCCAACCCCCTTCGTCGTCTTCCCCTTGTCCGTCTTTGTCGTCGTCGTCGTGTCGTCCGTAGCCGTCCCCGTCGTCACCGTCTCGGCTTCGGTCTCGGTCCCGGTGCCAATCTCCATCACGCTCTCCTCTCTGGAGATCTCCCGGGCCACCCGAGTCTTCCTCCTAACACGACCGACCCCCATCTTCGCGAGGCGCCCCTCGAGCAGTCCCAGCCGGTCCGAGTTGGCGGCCAGCCCCGAGGATATCTCCTCGAGTCTGTCCGCCAACTCCCCCGGCAAAGGGGTCACCGTTGCAGGCGTCTCCTCGGTCTGGGTTCCAGCTAGAACCCCCTTCTCCTACTGGGTTTGGGTCCCTTGGTCTCTGCAGAGCCTCGCGTTCTCCTCCTCATCCTGCCCGAAGCGGATGCACTCTCTACGCGTGAGCTCTGCAGAGACCTCCGTCAGTTCGCGCGTCATGCGCCACATGCGTCCGGCAAAGCCCGTAGCTTCTCTCAGGATGGGACTCATCTTCCCATCCGACCGGACTTCCTCCATGATGGCTTCGTTGAATTCATCAACCTCCCTCTTCACCATCTTCCAGATGCGCAAAGACCTCCGGAAGAGGCGCGTCGTGGGGACATCAATGTCCTCCTTGGACCACCATGGGGCCAGGTCTCTCTCCCATGTGAGGCCCGGAAGCAAGTACTTCGGCCTCACCGCCCTGGGGTCTGTAAACCCCCCCGCCGATGCGATCGACGAATCCGTCGACCACCCATCCCCACTCTCGCACCCGTCGCTCGTTAACGACGGAGTGGAGGCCGGGATGATACCCCCTCTCCGCCGGGCCCTGGGGCATCCGAAACCCCTGGGCCGGTAAGTTTTCTCCTGTTGTTTCGTCCGTCCATGTTGTTTATTTGGTTTTTTTACTTGATGGCCTTCCAAGGGTGGTGGGCCGAAACCCTAAGGCCCCACCAGGCCTCTTGTACCTCTACAAGAGGTACCGATCGCTCTTAGCACCCCTCGCAAGGCTATTCCCTTGCGAGGGGTGAGCCCCCCCACCACGACAAGGTGGCGATCAACGGGGGGGACATCTTGATGACCTGCCGAGATTTCAAGGCCAAGACCGTCAACGAGCGTAAAGCATTTGTAGAGACGAACAAGCTCTGCTAGAACTGCTTAGGAAACCACTTTTTATCTCGCTGTCAGTCAAAGAAGAACTGCCTTACGTGCGACGCACGACACCACACTACGCTGCACAAAGCAACCACGTCTTCACAGGCAGCTGAGGCCACCACACGCGCCACTACACTGATCACGACTCTTCAAGATCGAGATCATAAGGCTGTTCTTCTTGCTACAGCTCGACTTAACATCGCCGAACGGTACGGCTCACCACACGCCATACGCGCCTTGATTGACCAATGCTCCGAAATGTCGATCATTTCTAAGGCCTTGGCGCAACGTCTCCGCCTGCCTCGAGTCTCGACGGATCTCTCTATCTTCGGAATCGGAGGGACCCGCTCAGGATCAGCTCGTGGCAAGGTCACTCTGCACGTCACGTCAGACGTGACCAACGCCGAGCTCCGCGTGGTGGCTTGTGTGCTGCCCCGCATATCATTGCAGCAAGGCTCAGTCTCGCGAGAAGAACGCAGCTGGCCTCATCTCGACGGACTCCAGCTGGCCGATCCTCGCTTCCTGGACGACGACCCAGCTGAGCTACTGCTGGGAGCCGAGGTCTACTCCTTGATCCTCGAGGAAGGCCTCCGCAAGGGTGACTCAAGGATGCCGACCGCCCAGCAGACCAGCCTGGGATGGATCCTGTCCGGCGGCTACGACGCAACAGCAATCAACGGACATCGCCGCACATTCCGGTGCACCGCCGATCACGACCTCGCCGACCTTGTTCGACGCTTTTGGGAGCAGGAGAGCGAGCCAATAACTCGGGCTCCACTTACTCCCGAAGAAGCTAAGTGCGAGGAATTATATGTGCGCACCGTCACACGCACGTCCACCGGGAGGTACATTGTGAGGCTACCACTTTCATCACCGCCGACGAATCTTCACGAGACTCGCCGACCAGCGGAGCGCCTCTTGAGAACCATGGAGACCAAAGGCAGCCGAGATCCTCGATTTGGCGACCTTTATCGCAGCTTCATGCAGGAGTTCGAAGACCTACAACACATGAAGAGAGTCAACATTGCAACTACAGCGAATGACCTCAAGTGTTACTTACCGCATCACGGGGTCCTGAAGGAGTCGAGCACGACGACAAAACTCCGAGTCGTATTTAACGGCTCTCAACGCACACAGGCCGGTACTTCACTGAACTCTCATCTGTTGACTGGGGCGAATCTTCTGCCAGCGCTCAACGACGTGTTGCTGCGATGGCGTTGGCACCGGTACGTCTTTGTCACCGACGTAGAAAAAAATGTACCGCCAAATCCTCGTACATCCTGAGGATTGCCGTCTTTAAACAATCCTGTGGCGTCACAACAAGACGGACGAAATCCAAGAATACGACCTGCTAACGGTGACCTACGGCATGGCTTGTGCACCGTTCCTGGCCATACGAACGCTGCGGCAACTCTGCGCAGACGAGGGGACGCAATTTCCTCAAGGAGCCACAGCACTTAAGCGTGACTGCTACGTCGACGACGTGGTCACCGGCGCAGACAACCTCGACGATGCCATCAACTCCAGACGGAGCTGCGCCACCTGTGCACGGCGGGCGGATTTCCACTGAGGAAGTGGGCCTCAATAACTCCGAGGTCCTCGCGGGAGTCCCTCAAGAGCATCGGCTGCCGCAAGGACCGCATTCATGGGACGGAGAGAGCCATTCGACCTTGAGCCTGCGATGGCATCCTCAAGATGACTGGTTTGCCTTCGCAATACATCCGCGTTCAGTCACAGAATTCACGAAGCGACGAGTCCTCGCCGAGACTGTGCGACCGACCACTGGTCGCGATCCCCAGGATCCTGTTGCGGGCGAACGACCCTCGCAGATGGATGAAGCAGACCCAAACACCAACGACGGAACACCCAAGGAAGTTCCACCTACCCAGGAAGCGACCTCGTTGGAGATAGCCGATGAACGACCCACAATCATCCTAGGAGCCACAGCGAGCCCTGAGAAGGATGAAGGACGTGTCACGGACATCCCAATGCAATAGGGGTGATAAACCCTATGAAATGTATATAGATGTATATAAAACGGTTAGTAATAACGTATATAACTATTCGGTGACGTCCAAGTCATATTTTTATTTTTAGTTAAGATAGAGAGAAACTACATCGGATCCGCACTTGAGATCGCTCGTGTTATCGAAATATACGTTGGATAACTTCCCAACACGGGATTAGCTTTGGAGAGCCATGCAAATGACATAATTGCTCAGAGAAGCATCTCAACTGCGAATCCGACTAAAACAAGTTTCTAGCTCACCCAAGAGGTGAGAGTTTAGGTTTACGACACGATAAGTGATTAATGGACTTGGACAGATACTAAATACAAAATTGCGGTTAATAAAATCGATCTAACGGATGTCTGAGATAGAGCTAAGTCGCGAGTCCTATTAGAACAGTTAGGATTTCAAAGTAACCTGAATCGGACTCCCATAGTGTTTCCGAAGCATCTTGAAAGGTAACTAACTTTCCATGTCGACCTGATTCAAACTAAGGTTGGAGGCTAACGAAATCCACTAACTTAAATAACTGGAGCCGAGAATAAATCGTGACAAGTACACAACTACCCATAGTAGTAATTAGCAAACGCGACTGGTCTAGTTCTGACACTCGTTGGATTCAACAAAAATAATTAGATAAAATAAGTTTTAGATTAAGTTAAATGTATATATACAATAGATACTTACCTGCGATAATGACCCAGCTAGACTCGCAAAGACAAGCTGGGCCAGATAGGTTAAAAGCCCAAGGGTAACCTAAATTTAGTCACAGTCAAGGGCTAATCAGGAAGAGTATAAATTATTAAGTTAATGACATTCAATAGGAAATTGGATATCACTATTTTATTTCACGTTATGTAATTTTCTTTTAGCCTATGGTAATTTTTCAGTTTAATTTAGGTTATCTTATCTTATTTTATTTTATTTTACTTTATTTAATTTATTTTACACAAATAAACCAAGCCCCGAACACCCGGGCACGCTAAATTAAGATTAGCGAAATAATCGGGAAAAAGGAACTCTAGTGGAGTACACTTTACAATAACTAAAGCGAAAAATAGAAACTCTCGCGGAGTCAGCGCTACACACCCATGCGGCGATTCGTTCCGAGTCCTTCGGTGGGGCGGCGTTCCCTGATTGGCCGGCGGGCCAAGGGAAGGGCGAGCGCGAGGCATCCGAACCGGCTATATAAGTCGCGAGCAACGATCGCTCGAGACAGTCGGGCTAGTGAAATTTAACCATCACGAAAGCGCGATTCGTCCGGGACATTCCTTTGTCTCGTTAGATAATAACAATCGGACGGACAGTGCATCAGTACATTGCACTTGTACGAATCGCGGTTGAGAAGTCGCGAGTTCCGATTCGTTAGACAGTCGAGGCGGATCGAAGATCATGCGAGTGATCGAAGCGATTAATATATCGTGTGCCTTCCGACGTGTCGCGTGATCCTAATGCGAAAACTCATAGGTGACACGACGCGTGTCGCAAGCGGTAACAATCGCGAGTGTTTGGATTCACGTTAACTAGTCGCGCCTAGTTTGTAAAAAGCGTACAACTAACGTGCGGACTAAATATGTGTAAAAGCGTAGGTGGCTATGTAAAGAAGTGGACCACTGGACACCTAAAAGAAAATAAACTTTTTTGTGTTAATTAAACAGTGTAAAAGTTCACTACCTGCGTTTCCATGTATCCCACGGTGATCCTCCTGAGTCAGTCGTAAATCCGTACCCAAGGTGACGTCGAAGTCCGGCGGTAAGGTATCTGAAACACAACAAAGGAGAAAATTAAGGTTAAGATCCTGCGGCAATCCTTTGTCCGCGGCGCGTCAAAGCGTTCCCGACCTGTGAAGCAGCGTCGGCCATCTTCTGAAGGAAGCGCGGCGCCTATCAAAGAGGACAGCGAGACAGGGAACTGTCAAAGCGGCCCGAACATCAAAGGATCAACACCGACCAAACCATACCTCGTGCTTGTATAGGCTAAAAGCAAGTGGCGACCATTAAGGTGAAAGCGGGGCGTCTGTTGACTGGTAAGTCGAAGCGGAGGGCCATTCTCTCATGCCGTCCGGTCACAACTGCACGGCTATTCGACCCGATGGACTGGACGCTCCACTGTCAAAGGATGTTCAACGTTGGCAAACAGCGCTGAACCAGCTACCTCTGCTCAGCAAACATACGAGTTAATCGCTGGCTCAGCACGAGACGATCACTCAAGGCTTCAGCTCCACGGCTGTGCTGACGCTTCCGAACGAGGATACGCCGCAGCGGTTTACCTCGCGCAACTCTGAAAAGAGGAAAGCATCAACCATATTGCTCATGGCGAAATCCAAGTGCGCACCTGTCAAGCAGTTTCACTGCCTCGCCTGGAGTTGTGCGCTGCTGATCTACTCACCACGCTCACGCTGCATGTCCGCAACACGCTCGACTTGGCGTCTACTCCGGTTGTACCTGTGGTCCAATTCCAAGGTCACGCTCCATTGGATCCAGGGACACGCCACCCGCTGGAAAACTTTCGTCGCCAACCGGGTAATTCATATCCAAACACAGCTCCCGGACGCTCAGTGGAAGCACGTAGCCGGGAAAGACAATCCTGCAGATTGCGCATCAAAGGAATTACTCCTGGGGAATTAATCAACCACGCATTATGTGGACTGGACCTACACCTGGTTGGCACTGGACGAAACGGCGTGGCCCAACTCAGAGGTCGACATCTCAGAGGACGACCTTCCGAGAACAACGCACCACCAGCATGCTAACCAGGAGTTCGTCATCATCGAACCGGACCTCCTTTCGGTTCTC